TATCCTATCCAATTTATATACTCGTGGTAAATTCGATATTCATTTTAAGATGTCAATCTCGAGTAGCTTAACAGAAGGAGAAGATCCAAGAGAGTTACGTTCTCGTCGAAGCCATTTCGATCGCTCTGTGGTCCTTCGTGACTCCCGTAGAAGGACAGCAGTACGACTGGAGAAGAGGAAACTGATCAAAAGTGAAAACAGGGAAGACAGCGATAGTCTTCGGAAACTTTCACGCGTATCCTCCATATGTTCCATAAGAAATAAATCAAAAAGGGTCAGTGCTGCAATGGATTCCATTAACGAGACAGTAAACGGAAGCATGCAGTTCATACCTTTGTCTGGATCACCGTATCGCATGAGCTCAAGAGCAAAATGCATGGTAATACTTGACAATGTACCCAGTCCTATGTTAAGTTCACAATATTTGCAAATATTCATTATTTCTAGAACAAAATCATTTTTTCGCAAATTTCAGGCTGAATTTGATAAGAAGCATCCACCATTTAGGAACAACAAGGTTGAAGAGGTTAGTACAATATTTACCACATTTACTTTTATTCCAATAAATATAAGCAAAATCACCAATCCCTTGGACAAGTGCTTGTTGAACCAGCAGAGCTATTAAACATAGCGGGTTTCAAATTACAACTCAAATCTTATTCAAAGACGAAATCGAAGAAGTTTTTCTGCAGCAAGTGCAACGTTTTAAATGTTTAGCTGGCAATATTATCATTTTATGCTGCGTATCTTTGCATCTATCATTTTTCCTCCTTTCTATGCTTATACAAAGCGATATACGTTATCGCCATGCATGAACCTTCCCCATGAAGCTCATATGTATCTCGTTATTTTATATTGTTCTAAGAATTTACGTGAATGTTGTGAAATTGCCAAAAAAACGGAAATATATAATTAAAAGGCTAGAACTTATAGCCTTCTTTGTTTAAAATTTTCAATAAACAGTTATAATTAGAGAACAGTTATCAGATTAGGTGTGATTTTTCTGTTTCCACCTATGTTTGCACATCCACATTGATTCACCTACGATGTGCAAAAGTACGAGATGAACTGAGATCCGCGGCAAAGTTTCGCCGCACACATTCACTCCTGATTGCTGAAAACCTATAAGTGTAAGCGCGAAATACTTGCATTCACCCTCTCGTCGCGCTCACTCACATATGCGACGTCAGTTTTGTGCCGTCGCGTTGAGATATTTGCTTATTAGCGTGTTTCGAAGTAGCGAGCGACTAGTGCGACGAGCTAGTTAAGCAAATAGTCATCTGCCATCAGTCTCACATCCTCTCCCAGAATTGATTGCAACACGGTTGTTCGCTCGAGCACAAGCACGAGTTTGTTGCTACTGCCCGTTCCCGTTCACACATGTGTTCTGGATCGTCATCCACGTCTTTTTGAGAACTTGAAGTTAGCACAGATATGACATTGACTTCTCAGATGCAGCACAACTACTATCAGCGCTCGTACGTAACGAAGAGTACGCTACGCTCCTGTGAATGCGCGACTTCTCATACGATTCATGCACAATTCTAGCCTTAGACTCATAAATGAACAAATAAGGGATTAATTATGAACGACGTGGGTGGTCGATTGCTACATGTGGCGGGCGGGCGCGCTGCGGCTCTCACATCGATCCCTCTCAAGCCCGGAACGCCTTTTCCGGCACTGCAGGCTGTGAGTTTCCGTGTCTGATCTCTCCGCGAGGCAGGCGGTTCCTCGTTATGGTCATACCTTCCTAAATAATGCATTATCCAGGTGGCTTTTGCGAGGGTTCTATCCAGAGATTTATTGGATTGAGTAGCGTCTTCGTCATCGCTGACGTTGTACTGTAGCGGGATGTGAAGTTGTCCCGTTTTTCGGCTCATATTTAGTTCGAAATGAGACGAGGCCGTTGTTTTGACTCAATGACAGCGAAAACGACGACGACTACGAGCCGCTAGCCGGATT